AGAGGGTGCTAAAGTTAGCACAGGCTCTGGACACACTTCTGCACACCATCCTGGAGAATCAGCACTTGGTGCGGAGTAGAAAGTTTAGGGCACCAGTTACAAGCCTTTAAAAAAAAACGTGATAGCAAAATGCAGTGTGTGGATTGTGCCGCAAGTATTTCAGAGTGGAAGAAGGACATATGCAGCTTAGAAGATCATGTCTCAGATTGTGGAGTAATTCTAATGTGGTGCAGCTTATTATCTCTTCAGTAAGTGCATAGGGACTTTAGTGCCTTTCTAATTAAAAACTTCTAAGAAGCTCTTAGATCTGAAGTTTGGTAAATTCCCTTCAATTCAGTGGAACTGCTCCAAATGCATGTCAGCGAGAAAGAACTTGTTGTATCTAGGAGGTTATTGCCTGTAATGATCCCTGACCAACAACCCATATAAAACCCTATTTTTTCCATAGATAAAAGATCGTAGGAGCAGTTTCTCCAAGAATATGTCTCCAGCACAGTCTAAAGTTTCTGGCCTGAGAGAATAAATCCATCTGTGTGGTCAGTTTGATCCCTCACCTCCTAATGAAATGCCAGGTTTGAGAGTTCTAATTGCACGTTGTTCTGCGCAGAGACAGGCTGAGGCCAACAGGTCACTGCGTAAAAGCCGGTGATACTGCCAGCCGCGGTCCCAGCTCCATCGTGAACAGGCAGTCAGATTTTAGATGTTACCTCATCTTTCAAGGAAAATAAGCTACCAATGTCTTTCAGCTTTTTATTATATGGGTCACTGCATTTTACCACCATCTCGGAAAGAAACATCAAGGGACTTTTCAGATTCTTTCTAGGAAGAAAAATAGGAGACTGCTAGAAACCCCGTTTTTTGGCCATTGGTTAAATATAGCTTGCAAAAGAATCATCCCATGTTTTCCATGTGTCACAAGTCACTCGGTTAATTAATGTTCATTTTCAATTGGATGAACTGTTTTAAGTCAAACTGTGATGAATGCTGGCACAAAACAAATTATTAAATAGAAAACTACAGTAAAACATTATTATGTTGTAAATTGAAGAATGAGTGATGCGAGAGAGCAATTACACCATATGCGAACAGAACAATTTGTTCCTGTTCTGCTTAGTGGTAGACTTTCCCATTTAGCTGTGTGCATATAAATAATTTAAAGGCAAAACTGTAAATCTATGTAGTAATAAATAAGTTTACAATAACAAAACATTAAATGAATATTCAAAATATAAATGAAATGTTTTCTTGTAAGTGTCTGTAGTTTGTAAGTAACTGTGTACTCGTGATTTAAAGCCTCTGTGTAGAAACTCTGTTCTCAAATTGACCTGGGTCAATTGCATGTGCAGATCCTAGTGGTCAAGACCAGGTTCTGTTTGTTTACAGCTACAAATGTAGCCAGTTACAAAGTAAAAGTTAAGACTTCCACTAGTGCAGTAAAAGCAGAGTTAAGGACACTAAGTCCAGCTTGTTTATAAACAATACTACCTATAATGAAAAGGGTTTGGGTTAACTAAACAGGGAGAAATTACTGGAAAGTGTGTTTCTGGTCTGCTGTGTTCAGAGGGAGGTGAGAATTCTGAAATTCTGTGTATCTGCTTCTACTGCCTGAAGTCTTACAGCAAAACAACACTGAGTCAGTATGAAAAAATAAGTTTGTATTTGGTGTTCAGTAAGAATAAATGCATGCAAATAGTTTTTTAAAAATATTTTTTATTTAACTGCTGAGATTCTGTTAACAGACAACTGACTCCTTGTCAAATTAAGAAGATGGAGAGTGTAAGTTAAAAACAATGGCAATTTCTAGAAGAGGAAAAGACAAAAAATTCGGACTGTTGCATTAATTCACAGTTCTGCACTGAGATTTAAACTAAAGCTACTACATAAAGGTCAAAAACTGGCATAGGAATGATCTTGGTAAGCAGGCACACAGCTGCTGCGGGGAGTTGTGACTAATGCTGCTTTCCATTCGGAACAGAAACAATCCTAACCTGGTGTCCTTCGCAGCCCTTCACTGTGATGGTTGTAAGAGCACTCAAGCTACCCGAGCCAGTTTCTCCAGGCTGAGTTCCGCAGCATTTCCAGGTGGATTCCCCCCATACAGAAGCACACCTTGCTTTTTGAGTAACTGGCAGCATCTCCTCAAACTCGAGTCCTATTCATTGAAAGAACAGGTTCAGCCCTGGCAGGGAAAAATGGGTTCTCAGTATCCTCCGGTTTGAGCATAATAAATACCCAAGGCCAGATCCTTACTGCAGGGGTGGGCAGGTGGGGAATGGGCAGAAATTTGGCACCTGTGAGCTGCACGTAGCTGCCCGGAGTGTCGGCTGCTGCCAAGCTGCCCTTGCTGTCCCCAGGCCCAGGGGATGGTGATAGCACATGGGGACCATCCTGGGCTGGCGTTCTCGCAACTGTGCCGTGTCCCAGAAGGGAGAAGAGCCATCTGACAGCTTGGAAGTGGGGATGGGCTGCCTGGAAGTATGGGTCCATTGTGCCAGTGACTGCAATTTGTGAGCAAGCACTCCATGTTCAGATACCACACAGCATGTCAGGCTCAGAGACGGACAGAAAATGGGTCCATCAGCCTTCCCTGTCAGCACACTGTTCTCTCTTGCTGGTGTAGGCATATTTCTTGTTAGGATTTTATCCTTGCTAAAACTGTAGGATGTAATGTATTTGTGAATTGGCTGTGTATTTTTAAGGGAGCGGCGGGACCTGCTGGAGGAGGGACGTCCCTGAGGCTGGGGAATGGCTGTCGCAGCCCTGTTTGCTCCCAGGCTGGCGCGTCTGGCAGGGTTGGCGTCAGCACGGGCAGGGCTCTCGCTGCCCTCACCCCCTCAGCGCAGGAAGGGGAATTGCCCACCCTGCCTGCAGGTCTCCACGCAGACCCTCCCTGCGCCTCGACCCTGCAGGGCTGGCTCCCAAGGCAAGGCTGCACTTGTGCACTCCAGTGTTGCTGCCGCAGAGCAGCACGAACGTGTGGGGCTGGCGATGGTCTGTCCCATGTGCTGGCTGGGAACCTGAGCTTTGGCCGATATTGTGCAGGGTCCTGCACGCACTTGAAGTGTCTTTTTGCAAGAATTTAATGAGTTACTCCATTAGCTACCTGAGTTAATTGTGTTTATTAATAATTTTCAGCTTTAAAAAGAACAAAAAATCCTGTATTCATCTTAATGCCTTGCTGTTGCTCTGTAGGCCGTCCTTAGCCACATGTTTGTGCATGCAAGGATTTAATTAAAACCTTAATAACTAAATAATCTCCACACAGCCTAGGTGTGTACGAGATAGCACTATGGGGACATTTCTTGAGTTCCTCAATTGCACACCACATTACTATGAACTATTTTTTTATATTGAATAATAATACTCTAGCTTTGCTGGTGAGGTATGTATAGATTAGGAGGCAGCCTGAACAGTGAGCCCAAGAGCAGTGGTTTGCTCAGGAACTGTTCGAGGTATTTCCTTTGATCATGGCACAGCTGAGAGAGACTCACATCTCCTAGAGACCAAGACTAAAGTACTTGCATTAGGGTGCCTGAAGTGAGTTTCCTAAATAGAAATGGCCTGATTCCTTTTCCAGAGATACTGAAGGCAAAAAACGCTTTTTTAAAGCTTTCACACTTTGCAAAGTGGCTCTGACAGTCACTTTTTTGGGTGGCTGTCAGTATTTTGGGCATCGATTACTCCTGTATGTGGAGTGTTCAGCACTGATGAAGCCACTCCCCGGGTGCCTCTGGGCACTCCGGCTGCAGGGCAAAGCTCCAGCTGGGCTCCTGCTTTTGCGTTCACCCCTGTGGAAATGTCCCATGGCCACATGAGACATCATCATGTTAGAGTGTGGGTGACAACTGCACCCACTAGTCCATGTCATGGCTTTGGAAAGGTGTCACCCGTGGCACTCGGGACCTAAGCAGCTGCTGCGGTGGACCTGTCCAGCCTTGTCTGCCCGGGCTCAGCAGGAGCGCGGGGAGGGAGAGGCAGCAAGCTCTGGCCCTGCAGCGATGCCGCAGGCTGCACCAGCGCAGCAGAACTTCTCCCTGGGAAGGGGCTGTTCCCACCCTTGCCAGGCAGCAGAGCAGGGACCCGTTTCAGGGATGGAGCAGCCTTCCCACACAAGGGCGAGCGGCTGGACCACAGGGGCACCCAGCAAATTCCTCTCTCTTTGGCACAGGTAACTAGAAAATAAAAAACCTGAACAGGTACCTTAGTGGAAGTGGATACAAGGCAGGGAAGCCTTGTGAGCTGCAGTATGGACATGGGTGCCACTTCACGCTGTGAGCAGAGGCATCGGTGTCTGCCCCTGCCCAGGGAGAGCTGCGTCCTCCCTTGACTGACGTAAGGTTGCAAGCACCAGCTTTCTCGTGATGGCACATCCGTAACTGCCCCTGCAGCCCTTTATCGTGCCACATAAGCTTACCTCACAGGAGCGGGAGCGGTCTTGCTCTCCCTGGGCTTGGACGAAATGACTGTAGCAGATGTGTTGCACATCTGACCTCTGTTTTTCTATAGCTCCTGTGCACATTTTTAATTTAAAACTCTGCTCTTTCCAATAAAAGGTAAAGAAGATGTCAAGGTCTTGCTGTTCCCATTCCAAATGAAATCGGTTCGTGTCCTGTTAATCAAGGAGTACAGGCGCAGCATTTGTCATTTCCCTTTAAAGTAATGGGTGGTTGATACCTGTCATTTCTTGAGAAACTATATACCACATTAAGGTGTATTTATAGAAATCTCAATTGCTGGTAACTTGGCTGAAGCCAAGTTTAGGCATACCATTAGTGATGCATAATGAAATGACCTAAGTGGAGTTAGATTTGGGAGGGGGAAGAGAAAGCTATTTGAGTTGGATAGCTTGAGGATGCTGTTTTACTATTAAAATTAAGCTTCTGACCCCTGGCTCTGAAGTGATAAAAATAAATCTTCCCATATTTCTCTTCTGCTTTTAATCTTCTGTATTGGAAAATATAGAGAGTAAAATCTCCTTCTCTCTCGTGTCTCTTTTCTAGGTACAGGACCTATTTATGCTACAGACCCACTCCTATATGTGTTCCTGTTAATACTGCATAAGCTTGTACATTTATTAGTAAACCACTGACGGACTACTTCCTGCACTCCTTCTCAGCCAAACAAAAAGGAACCTATTTAAAAACAGAACAAACCCCTGACAAAAAAATACCTACAGTTTTAAAGATGGACAGAAAGAGACTGAAAGAAGCATGATAAATTCCACATGGGGGGAAAAACATATTTTTGGGGATGCCACAAAAGTAAACCACATAGAATAATGCATCTAGTTTCCAGACTCTATGGTGTAAAGCCCTGCTCTATGCATCGCACCTATGATTTCTCTATTTTACTGTAATATTTTTTCTTTTCTAAACCTTCCCTCTGACTCTTCATTTTGCACGAACTGTTGAGCAGTTATCTTTATGACAATATGTAAAGATGTTGGGTCAAAGCCCTTCCTAAGAAAGGAAATATTTTTAGTAGATTATTGTGTTTAGGTTTTTTGGATTTACTTTTTCTTTTTTAATTAAATTATTTCTTTTGGAGACATTTTAATTAAAAAGGTACATCTTACCATAATTAATATTCACTGTCAATAATATTTATTTTTAAATGAAGATTGGAAACAAGGTAAGACATTTGTTTATAAACTGTATTGTATATTGCTGAATAACAGTTGAATAAAAAGATTTTGAAATAAAGTTTTTACAGATGTGTGTGTCTTTCCCGGTGTCCTGAAGCTCCCTGAGTAGGCTTCATGGCTGTGTCTGTTCCTTACCTTGTCACAGCACAGAGAACTGAGGAAAGGTGCATCACAAACAAAATAAAATTGAAATCAGTTATTTATGACACACCCCCATGTACTGGCAAACCCCACAACAGAATGTGCCGACAGCTACTCACAAGCTGTAGCTGTGCCCTCCTGCGATGACACCAGTTATCCCCGGACAGTTCACGCAAGATCCAGTCAGATGGACAGCGTGACAGTGTGGAGCACTCAAGGTAAGTTGCTTTGGTTTTCTCCAGGCCTCTATGAAAAAAGATGAATCAACCAGTGGAAAACAAAATTAATCAACCTGCAATGCTGTATTCCCCAGACCTGGTTCCAGTATTTGTTTAAAATACATTCAGATTTTTAAAATTACATAATTATGTCACTTGTCTTACCAAGTGAGCTTTCCTCTAATGAAGCAAAAGGCTTTTTTACAGTAAATACAGCAGTTATTTTTCTGTTCCAAAATGCTTGGGTTTTAAGTGTGATAATAGGGTGACTTGGTAAAGAAACACAAGCTTCTGTAGCTGAATTTAGTGAAGTGCTTTGAAATTTGCTCTGTCTGACTGTGATTCTTACCCTCTCATTTGCATAGCATTTTAGCAAGGACCTTAATTGTGGAAATGGCAAAGTGACAGCTACAGCGCCAGCAGGACTCTGGCAGCAGAAGCTGTGGAGCAAAAGTGGGATGTGCCATTGCCTCACCTCGTACCCGAGTCCTCTTCTAGAAGGAGGGTAGGAAGGGATTTACAATTTCTCAGATGGTCAGAATTTGCTTTTTCTAGGACTTCCAGTAAGAGGGAGGGATTTGTGCCACTCGCATCTCCCAAGGTGTGAGACCAAAATGCACCTGTGTTTCATGCATGCTCCTACATTGTGGTAATAAAAGCCCTCTTGTACTGGGGCAAGCTCACCATGGGCATCCAAAGGTGGTAAAATCTTTGTAAGAATGTTCATCCCCTTAGCGCCAGCTGCAGTATCCTGCGGATTGGGGAATAATCCGTAATTGTCCCACAGAAAGCAGAGCCGCTCTTTGGAAGGGCTTGGGGGAGGTGGTTTTTGGAAGCCTGGAGGCGCATCGGAGTATGAGACACTGAAGAGCGAGCATGGCCGTTGGCTTCTGTGTGCGCGGGAGGGCAAGGCTTTTATAACCTGAGAGGAAAAGACAGGTGGAAAGGAAGATCTGAATGTCGGACCATGCCTAAATTAATACCGGCATTCACGTCTGGGAACTTGTTCCAGGACAGTTCCTCAATGCAGAGGTGTGTGCGGAGTCTGTAATGTCACGAGAGCTCTAATCCTTTGAGTATCAGCCGGCCATGAAAGTGAAACCTGCCTGGGTTTGAACTGTGGGTCTTCTGGCAAGCTCATCATCACTGCTGCTTTTTCTCAAGGGCAGTGAATATTTCTCATCTTCATTCCAAGGCAGAGAACCAAAACAATTTTTTCCACAAGAAGAAAATCTTGTCTAAATTTGTCTAAATAAATAGCTGACACTTGAGGCAGTAGAGCATGTCTATCTAGGACTAGATATGCTTCTATTCCAACTTCAGCCATACCTCAGCATGGTCTCCTAGTAAATAGATGCCCTGCTTTGCTGTCATACTTCTGCTTCATCACTTATGTCTTGAATCGCATACTGTGTGATTTGCAGAAAACATGGGCACAAATACATCATCTGGCATTTGTCCTTCCCTTTGTACTGTAGCCTGCTGCCTGCACTGGGATGTGGCAGGGGCTGGGGCAGGAGTAGAATTATCAAGGTCTTTTAGACTTTAATCACATTAAAGGTGAAAAAATATTAAATCTGCAACTAAAAATAACTTTTTTTTTATCCTTTCTGAGATCAGAATTAAGTGTGCCGCAGTAGGAATAACAATTCTTATATTCCAATTCGCTATAAAACCTCAGAACTACTAAACAATAACCTGCGGATTTGATGAAAAATCTCTTCTAACAAGAGCAACAGGCATCTTTTCTCTCCAGTGCAGACCTGCGCGCATGCAGAGATAACTCATTCCCAGCACACAGGATGACTTCACCAGGGGCGCAGGTTGCCAAGATAACCTGGCTCTACCTTTACCTTCACTATAACTCTGCCTTCAGAAACGTGCAGAATGAGTCCTCCAGGTTTGGGGGCCTTGGCTTCCACCTTCGGTTGGGTTTTTTACAAAATGCACAGCCTGTGGTTGGCTCCGCATTTGCGTAGTGCAGGGGAAATACCGGGCTGAGGCGGCGGCTGCAGCTTTTGGTACAGTATTTGGTCTTTAAAAAGCACTTACAGGAACGAGAAACATTTTGATGGAAGAATGGAAAGAATTTGGAGCCTTATTGCTTGTGAGTGCGTTAAGCACTTTTGCTAAAATATCTGTCCTTTGAGAGTGCTCGCTCTTCTGAAAAGGGCAACTGCCTCACTTCTGCTGATTGTATTTACAAAGGGCAAAGAGAGGTTTTGCTGTACCCTTAATGGACAGGGGCTTGTGGCAAATCTTGCTCTTTCATAAATCTCAGCATTCCTCGTGGTGTCCGCTGTCAGAATTGATTAGGAGTAAGTGCTCGGCCAGCAGAGCTGTGGAAAGGCGGCCTGTCTCCTGCAGAGCCGGGCAGAAGGCCCTGCAGCACCCGTGGGGGGGGGGCTGCGTCCCCGGGCCCCTGGGGAGACAACCCCCGGCCCCTGCCCCAGCAGCCGAGCTGGGAAGTGTGAGTGATGGCTGTTAGGGGCCAGAGCGGAGTCATCTGTAATACAATCATAAGGAAACACATTTTTCCTGAGAGAAAATCAATAGAACTTTGCACTTTTCCATGTAATATTTCCAGTCTGTGCCATCAGCCTTCGTTTGCTCACAGTTATACCACTATAAATTCACTGCGAGTCAATGGATTTCTACAAAAATGAATGGATTTACAACAGTGTAACAGAGCCAATGCTAGAGCCATACATGGAACAAAAAGTAGTTTTATAGGACACAGGTGACCTTCAAAGTGCCAAGACCTAGCAAGTAAAAAGCAAACTTACCTGGTTCCTGGGAGGCTCCTTTTCTGGCAAAACTCCCAAGGAAAATACAGCGTGCAGTCCTGATGCCGTCGCTGCAAGTGACAAGAGGAAAAGACACCACCGAAGGGAAGACGGGCGAGCCAGCAGCTCCACGCTGTGATGGAGAATGCAAGAGACTGTCTGAACATGTCATTTTTCATTTCCTGCATAAAAATTCTGGAGCCTCGACTCACTCAGAATTAGTAAGTAAATAACGTGCCCCCAAATTTGTGTGTCAAAACTAGGCTGGTTAATGTATGAGCCGCCCATGTTGCATTTGTTACTACACAGTAAATTTCATGCTTAGCCAGAGGCGGGCAAAGTTCATTTATTCGTTTTCCCCAAACTTCGGGCAGTTATTATTCAAACTCCCCCAGTACATCTATTTAATAAGGAATGAACAGAAAATTGATGGGATCAAAAATGTTAAAGTCTTAATTAATGCTTTTACCAGAGATTGATGGGAGAGGGGCTGTGGTGAGAATACTAATTTGCAGTGAGCAGGCACGCTGCCTGGTTTTGCTGGAGCAGGGAAAGGCTCTGCCAGCCCGGCCACAGGATCTGCCCCACAGCCTGGAGACCTGCCGGCCCGCGGGGACAGCACCTGTGTCACCGGGTAAGGGAAACCAGCGCTGCGAGCCCTGGCAGAGGTGCAAACCACTGCCGATTCATAAACAGAGCGTTTAGATGGTGAACATTCACTTACAGCAGAGAAAAGATGTGGGGTTTTTTCTTCTTCGCTGTTTTGGGGATTTTGTGGTGTTTTTGTCCGCTGGCAGCTTTCTAGCACTGCAGATCACTGAGCTGCGACGCAGGGGCTGCTCGGCGGTGCTCCGCAGTTGAGGGCTTCGCTCCCTGACGAGATGCCCCCGAGGCAGAGCCCAGGGCTGTGTGCATGCGTGCACCAGGCTTGGGCTTTGTTCACACAGCAGCAGTTACCGTTACTGCGCAGGAAAATTAATGGGCCCTAAACCAAAGGGAACGCGACAAAGGCTGGAAGAAGCCCAGCAAGGCAGGAGGGCGGCCATGAGGGATTCCTGTGTTGCCCTGCCCCAGTGCCAGTTCTCTGGGCATGGCTGGGTGGCTTTACAGGGCGTGGGGAAGAAGAAGGGAGGAAGGGTTTGTTGGTTTTAGACCATGTTTCTAAAACCCAGCAATCTCTGCTGAGTAAAAGATGGATATTATTATAAATGGAGCCAGCTGGGGAAAATACGTGGTTCGTATCTGCATCAATGACAATCCAAAATATAGCCCTGAATAAGACAGCTTTTTTGAAGGCTCCATGCTAATATCAATGAATCGATTGAAGTCTCCTGTTTTTCCTCTAGTGACTGCCAGCCTTTTAATTATAGCAATTATGGGCATTCCAAGCAAATCACAGTTATATTAAGAGTTGAATCGAAGAAGACTGTGCTGCAGAGTTAGTTAATGGATTTCCCTATTTGTTGCCTATAGATTTGGTTTCCTGTTACTGTTAAAAATTTTCTTAAATCTCATACAGAAAATCATCTGTAGTTTAATACCAATTAAATGACCATGGTCTCAATAAATAATTCAAAAAGGCTGATGGTTCAATTTTTCTTCCCTGGCTTTCTGGGATCCCCTCGGAAGCGCTGAAAGCAGGGTGGCAGGTGCCATGTGCCAGGCGCCCGCAGCCGTGGCTGGTGCAGCTCAGGCAACGCTTTGCCCAGTGTCCCAGTGCACGGCTCGGCCCCACGTGCTCTCCCCCGGCTTCAAGCCAGCACAGACAGTGGGAGCACCACGAAAAGCCACCCGTCAGTTCCTGGAGGGACCCTCAAGTGCCTCAGGACTCAAAAGCCTGGTTTCCCTAGTTAAACTACTCCTGCGTCTCCGACCGGAATCGGGACATTGTTGAAACAGCCCCCGTGGTCACACTGAGCAGACA